ATAGTAATGTAGTAATATAGTACGGTAATATAGTGAACGAGTTATCGTTTATGATTAAATAGTATTATTTGGTTAAACGAGGTTTTAAATTACTGAAATAACAAGAAACAAATTGTAAACAAAGCACGACATCTACAGAAAACCGGACAGAACTAACAATAAAATTGGCTTCAGCTGTTCCATAAGGATGGGAAATCTACCTTAATATAATCGTAATAACAGATCCCACACTCCGCACTGCTAACTTAGCATTTACTACAATGTATCGAGTAAGCTTCAGTATAATCATTGCTCAATAGTAACAAGAGATGTTTTTGCTTTTGTACTGTATTTTGTAATTTCTAGTATACTGTGGGTAGATGCCTTTATGAACACATGTGTTACAACTTACAAGTCTTCTGTTTACTTTTTCCTTGTTATTTAATTCAACCAACATGGTTACTTAGCAACCCATAAGACTAATGTTTAAAAAAATGTGACTTTCAGTTTTATTTTTCTACTTAATTAGATTTTTGCTGGCAGTTCTAACTGCAGTAAACTTGTTTTTAGGCCAGGAATAAACTATTTACAACATTTGAAGAAAATCGTCGGAGCCATTTTCGAGATCTTTGTGCAAGCAAGCAAGCATACAAGCAAACATTGCTCATATTAGAATATAGGATAATTAGTAGTTTTTAAACTTAAAGCTTGAAATATCAAATGTAAAAAATAAAGAAAAAAGATATGTAAATAAGGGAGATGAAGGTACATCATGCAAAAATGTTTATGAAAATGTGCCGTGGTAAGTTTACTCATATCAGCCTGCACAGAATTTAAAATCAAAACAAAATGACTGTTTTACTACTTGCCAGATTTTAAAGCCATAAACATTTCTATAAAGGCCATATTAAGGTTGAATTTTGTTTCCATAAGCGTTGGCGGATGTGTAACTATTTTATACAACAGATGTAAAGATCAAAATGTTTCTAGTTTGTGTCCTCTTCCCAGTGAAAAGCACAGGTACAACAGCTAGTTATAAATATAAAAATGTGGCGTAGGGTAGAGACAAGTAAGGCTTCACTTTAGCGCGGCACTTTTGGATCAGTGACCCGGACGACGCCATGTGATTCCGAAGTTTAAGATTCAGAAATTGAACAACAGGATGGTGATGATAATGTTTCCCTGTGCTCACAAACTAAAATTTACGATTCTTGTGACAGCAACCAAGAATCTTTACCTAAACTTCCAAACAAGAAGACCTATGGTAGGCAAATGAGGATTAACTCTACTGCATTGGTTAGCAATCGTTATGGTGTTTTCAATCGTTCTACAATTTGCAATAGCCTCTAGTGTTTTGTATACAACGTTGGCATAGTCACTAGGCCGAATACAATAAAATAAAATAGTAGGTAAGTATATTTTACTCTTTACTCCTGTGGCCATTGGAAACCTAGGTGGTCAATGCTATTACATATTAAAAATAAAAAAATTATAAAAATTTCTGATATAATATGAGTTTTTCATTTTCGTTCAAACTTTAGAGCACATGCGCCACTGGAAGATAACAATCAATATTTTTTTATATTTTTACCCTGTTTTGGTCTTACAATTTAGCAACTTTTTCAAGCTATTACAACTCGGAAAAAATTATAGATAATAGACCCACCCTAATATATATTTATATATATTCATATATGTGTCCGTTAGCACGGTAACTTGAGAAAAAATTATCCGATTTGGATGAAATTTGGTATAAACGTGTAAACAAACCTATATTTATTCTAACAAGTTCGCGAACTAGCATGATCGGACTATGAGAACGGGGGTTTATGGGGTAAAAATTGGGTTTTCCCATTTTTGACCATACAAAATAAAAATTTACAATTTACTTCCAAAAAATTTTTTAGAGCTTAAAAAAACATAAATTTTGGTGGTTCTTCATCTCCACCATCGTTAGGCTTACAAAAGGATCCCCTTCTGGAGGTGTAGTCAGAATTGTTACAAACAATTAACCCAAAACATAAAAGACGAAATGATTACAGATAGGCCTATCAATTCACAAGTGTACACATTGTCGCGAGCAGGACTGGAAATAGACAACTAGAGTGTCTGATTAAAATTAGATTGTGTTAGTTTCCTAGGTTTAAATTTCATTCATAATCAATTGAAATTTCACTTAAAAATGTTCCCTACCGCAATAGTACAACATTTTTCATTTATATAGACCAGCGACGCACATATGCGACGGCTGGGAGACTACCATCGCATGTATGCATTGGCTAGTCACATTAAAATAGGCAGCCGTCACATATTTGCGTTGGTGTTCCAATGTTATTAAAACACTTATATCTTTGTAACGGTCTATTTGAAGGCCCTGAATTCTCTGCAGTGGTCCACAGGGATGTCTGTCGCACATGTGTGTTGCTTGGTCTGTGGATATTATGATTGTTGATGTCATGTAATAAAATAGTTAGACAATTTACTATTGTAACAAAACGTCATTAGCCTACGTAGATTTTTAATTTGTTTCGTTATAAGCTTTTAAAACTATAATGCCAGAAAAGACTTTTTTGTGCCATTTATTTCATTTTCTGACAATTTACCATTGCAACAAAACGTCATTATCTTATGTAGGTAGCTTTTATATTTGTTCAGTTATAATATTTTTTTTTATTACTTTCACCTAAAAACAAAAACAAAAATGAACTCTCGCATAAATGCGGCATTTGGGTTATTTAAAGAAAAATATAATAATTTTAACTCAGAGGCCTATTGTCTTCGCTATATAGACCGGGCGTCACAAATATGCAACACTAGCAGAGTACCCGTCCTTCGTACGGGGTTGGAATATAAGTATAAAATGCTTATTGCAGTTATACTCAAGCTTTGCGTTTGCAATAAGGGAGGACACAGTTTGATAAAATTTGCTTTTTTAAATTTACAGTATTCTATAGTATTACACATTTACCATAGCCATAATGTTCTACCACTTCACCAAACAACAGAGAAAAATAAATTATCAACAATTCGCAAAATATCACAAATTATTCATGTAATGAAAAACATAAACATAACTGTAAACAATCCTACTTTGACAGTTCTCATTGCGAATCACAGTTTTTTGTTGCTGCTTAGTTCAAATTAGCTGTTTTCATAAATGCAAAAAAAATATAGTGCTGCACCCTGTTGGTAAATCTTATAACTTTTTAATGCTTTTCCATATCGTAGAACCAACTTCTTTAGTTGAAACAGCTGACTAAATTCTTTAATTCCCTTTAAATATGAATACTCATATAAGGTTAACATGGGGAACTACAGCGAGCCACTGGGGCGGAGCCCGAAAGGATTTTTGGGATAAGAATATGCCTATATGTTAATCGGTAATTTAAGCTATCATCATGCCAAATTTCAGCCCAATCTGTCCAGTGGTTTATGCGTGATTGAACTTCAAACAAACAAACAAACAAACACACAAACTTTCACATTTATAATATTAGTAAGATTAAAAAACGTTATCAAAAACATACAAAATATAATCTATATATTAATTTGAAACTGTTTTTCTTTGTCTTCTTTGTTTTTTAAAGAAAGGTCTTGGTCTGTAGATGAGCCATCAAAAGAGAAACGTGGTAAATTCCCTTGGGGCTCTGCCCCAGTGGCCTTTAAATTCCCATCCCATGTTATTCTTATGGAGGAAAAACGGGGTTTTGTCACAGCTAATTTCAGAGAACGGCTGGGCGTAAAAACTTGGTAGGGGTCTCTAAAGAAAGGTCTTAGTCTGTAGATGAGCCATCAAAAGAGAAACAAGGTAAATTCCTTTGGGGCTCTACCCCAGAGGCCTTTAAAGTCCCCTCTTCAGATTTGTTTACATCACGACCGTATGCATACATTTACACTACTTTTCAATGAAACAGCTGTTAATATTTAAATTGTGATTTAATAAATTTGTCAAAATGAAGTATTTGCAATGGTTTTTGCTGATTTTGAAATCGATTTTCTTCTGAATCGGGCTATGTTTTGCAATATAATGTTCTTTTACCAAATCAGTGGAAAATTCTAATATCACAGTAACTCTTAAAATTATTTCTTATGGAGTTAACTTATATCTATCGTATGGGTTGGTTTCTGCCTTTTTTACCACTTCTTGGAGATTGCACGTAGACGATATTCTTTGGCGTATTGCATCTGTAGTAGACGATACTTGGTTTGTGTCATTTTTAAAATTAAAATGGAAAAAAGCGAGAAATTATGGACAATTTTATATAAGTTACTAAAAATAAAACTGAATTAACACTGTGCTACATTTCTTGAGCAATAATTGAAAGAGCTGATTTGCAAACAATGGAAACAGGAAAGTCATAGAACACAATCAAGTAGGCCTACAGTAGAAGAAATAGAAATATTGTTTTTTTTTTCATTTATAATCGTTATTAAAGAACCTAATGCGGCTATGAGTGGGAAGCATTTGTAGAAAACACTAAAATACAATGTCAGCTTTTGAAAAAAGATAAGATATTTACAAAGAATTTTAATTATATCTAACTGTCGTGTACATCTTGAGTATTTCCATAATCTTTGAGTTGACTCTTATTAAGTCATCGGGAATTATTTTAAAATAACACCTGTAATGCTTCGCAATTGCTCGATTTCGAGCAACAGGTACACTAGTAATATATTATTTACAAACACGATTGCAGCATATTACAAAGTAAATTATCATTGTTCAACAGGTTTTTTCCTGTGGTCTGCGTGTACTGTTAACCAAGTGAAAGCCGGTCTATGTGTAAGATTAAAATGTATAACTCGGTCCGTGGCAATGGCCACGGTGTCACATATATGCGACGCTCGGTAGCAAAGTGTTAAACGTAAATAATAAAAGCCAACATTAGATGTAAATAAAGCGTGTGTTTTTTTTATATTGTTTTTTATAATTGAAACAATTCAAACAATACCAAACCATGGTTCTGTCCCCCAGTATTAACAATTCAAACAAATTAACACAGGATTTATAAGAAACAACTGTACTTTTATTAATTGATTAATATATATTATTAGTATTATTTCTTAACATACAACTTAAACTTAAATAAAGGAATCCAAAGTAATTATACAAATGGCAGTGATCCTCTCAAACAAAAATAATCTATAAAATAAAAGGACAGATAAATATTGCTACAAAAAGAATTATAGATGGTATTACTGGCACACCAGAGTTTCTGTTTTTCAAGCACACACTGTTGACATCTTGAAGTTGTTTGTAACTGTTTACATACGAATATCCTGGATCGTTTGGAAGTATGATCCCTCTACTAGAGTCCTTAACAAAAAACATCATATAAATGACAGGACATACTGTCAATGGTTAAAAATAAGACTTAAAACTAAGATACATCGGTTTTACATAAAAACAACTAAACCCTCCAGAAGTTTAAATACCCTTGCCACAGCAAACCTGCAGACTAAGCGTATTTCCATTTTTCTTGTCGATTTTCACGATTATACCCTTACAATCTTGTCAGATCTCCTATTTATTTAACATTAATTGTAATGAGTAGCCTACTTAGGTTTGCTGCTACAGGGAAGGTAATAAGGTGTATTTTTTATTAAATTGTTAATAGCTTAATGTGACATTAAAGAACTTGCGAAATTTGATTAAAATATGTCCACAAACAAGCAAACTACAACAGTATTCTCCATAAGAATAACATGGGACGTTTTAATTTACACTTTTACTTGTTCCTTTCAACTCATAAACAAAAATACAACCCCCATTGCCGGAAAATTATTGTTCAAAAGTTATTGTTACTTTTATATGTGATTTTCTCATTAAATACCCTAAAATAACAAAAAATCAGATTTTTTAAAAAAGTTCGACTGATTTTGATTGAAGTATAGTACTTAATGGTTCTTATAATTCAAAACAGAATGGTCCCCCATAGCTGTAAAAATTATGGATTATGAGTTATTGCAGCTTTTGTGGTTTTACCTGTAAAATACCATACTTTCTCCCACAGCTTGCCCATGATAAGGGCTGTCGGTAAGCTAATGGGAGAAAGTATGTGTCAGATTGCTGATACCGTTTATTTTGGAATGACCTCCAAAACCTTTAAGCACACAACAACTCTCCGTAACCTTTAAGCACACGACAACTCTTTAATATACTTTACTAAATTATTTGTTTTTAAGCTCTACAAAATAGTTTTAAAATATATTGCGAAATTGTATTATGTTTTAGGGGTTAAAAATGGGAAAACCAAATTTTTACCCCATGAAACCACCCATACCATCCCGTTCCCATAGTCCAATCCTGCTGGTATTATTTATAAAGAGCTACAACAGTGAATCTAAGAGTACAAATATAATTATTTTTTCTGACATTTTTTGTTGAAAAGAGAGTTTATTTTAAGTAAAAAAGTTAAGTTTATATTAGCTTTTTTTGAAGAGATAATAGAATATAATCAATTCAAACTAGATAACGCATTATGATCATTTAGCTTATGTTGCAGTAGAGAAGTAAATCACAAAACCATCTTATCTTATATATTTAAAAAAATTGGTTTTTCTTTTCCGAGTTCGTTTGGCTCTTCTACCCGACCAATTTTCTTGATTGAGGTCTCAAATTGAAGGTCTGCACGCACAGATTTGCCATCAAGAATCGAAATTTAATTACATATAGTCTCACTCTGTTTATACGTAAACAAAATTTGCTCTCTGTGTATTTCTTATGGGAGTTAAATTTGGTTTCTCTTTGCCGAGTTCGTTTAGCTCTTCTACCCAACTGATTTTCATGATTGAGGTTTCAAATTGAAGGTATGAACGCACAGATTTGCCATCAAGCATCGGCATATAATTATCCATAGTCTCACTCGGTTTATACGTAAACGAAATTTGCTCTCCATGTATTTCTTATGGGAGTTAAATTTGGTTTCTCTTTGCCGAGTTTGTTTGGCCCTTCTACCCGACCGATTTTCACGATTGAGGTCTCAAATTACAGGTATGCACGCAAAGATTTGCCATCAAGGATCAGCATTTAATTATCTATAGTCTCACTCGGTTTATACGTAAACAAAATTTGCTCTCCATGTATTTCTTATGGGAGTTAAGTTTGGTTTCTCTTTGCCAAGTTCGTTTGACTCTTCTACCCGACCGATTTTCATGATTGAGGTCTCAAATTGAAAGTATGCACGCACAGATTTGACATCAAGTATCGGCATATATTTATCTATAATACCACTCAGCCTATACGTAAACCAAATTTGCTGCCCATGTATTTCTTATAGGGAGTTAAGTTTGGTTTTTCTTTTCCGAGTTCATTTGGCTCCTCTACCCGACCGATTTTCATGATTGAGGTCTCAAATTTAAGTAATGCATGCAAATATTTCTCATCAAGCATCGGTATATACATAGCTACTGTATTATTCGACTAAAAACATAATTTGTATAATTTTTGAATTCTTACATCAATTTAAGATGTATTTCATAAGTTATAATTATATAATCCTATATATTTTGGTCTTAGAACTTTCAGTGAAATATCAGCTTTTATTTAAGCGATTAAGATACTGTATTACTCAATCAAAGATCTTAAATTTGATTATTTCTTGGTTATTATATTTATTTTAACGCTGCGGAGCAGCATGGGTCCTCTAGTATTAAAATAAAATAACTTGGTTTTTCTTTTCCGACTACGTTTGGCTTTTCTACCCGGCCGATTTTCATGATTGAGATCTCAAATTGAAGGTATGCACGCACAGATTAGCCAACAAGCATCGGCATATATTTATCTATAATCCCACTCGGCATATACGTAAACGAAATTTGCTCCCCATGTATTTCTTATGGGAGTAAAATTTGGTTTTTCTTTGCCGAGTTCGTTTGGCTCTTCTACCCGACCGATTTTCATGATCGATGTCTCGAATTGAAGGTATGTACGCACAGATTTGCCATCAAGCGTTGGCATATATTCATCTATAATCCCACTCGGTGCATACGTAAATGAAATTTGCTCCCCAAGTATTTCTTATGTGACATTAATTTGGTTTTTTTCTGAGTTCGTTTAGCTCTTCTACCCGACCGATTTTTATGATTGAGGTCTCAAATTGAAGGTATGCTCGCCAAGTTTTCTCATAAAGCATCGGCAAATATTTACCTACTGTACTCGACCAAAACAAATAATTTGATTTATTTTCTAATTCTTACTTCAATGTAAGATGTACCTTCACCAGTTATAATTTTATAATCCTATATATTTTAGTCTAAAAACCTTCAGTGAAATACTGGCTTTCATCTAAGCTATTATTTATTGAAATCGTACGAGTTTCAAGCAAACGCAAGGTGAAAAATGAACATAAAAATTGTTTTTCATGAGGTTTTTATATGATTAAAAATTAATAGCTCTAGTATTGGTAATGTTTTTCTATTGTTTTTTTTTCTCTCATAAATTTGATTATTTCTCGGATATTATATTTGTTTTAACGCTGAAGAGCAGCACGGGTCCTATAGACTCAAAACAACCAGTAATTTATAGGCTTTAATTTGAGCTATCAATTGTTTGAATCAGTTAAGCTCAAGATACTGTATTACTCAATCAAAAATCATAAATTTAATTATTTCTTGGATATTGTATTTTTTTAAAGCTGCAGAGCAGCATGGGTCCTCTAGTTAAGGTTTAAATCACGATTATCTAGAAACACCAAACACAACAAACAAATTTGTCTGGTTATCCATTTTTTTAATCATTAGATAGGTCCATAGCCAGATTGGAGGTAAATATTTAAAAGTTTACAATGTGAAGGTCAATCAATTCCAAAGTACAATCATATCCCCAAAGAATCTAAGCCTCCTGGTATTTTTACCAGAAAGTTTTAAAATTCCAACCAAAATCCTTCTTACCTTAAAGAGTAAGTCCTTAGTATCTTGGAACTCTGAGTACATATGAAAGACACTATCCATCTTACTAGGTGATGTAGATCCAAACCATTGGTCTAGCTCCAGAAGTAGTTCTCTCAGTTCCAAGTCTCTAACTGAAGATCTACCTGCATGAGCCATCACCTAAACACACCCCAGATACAATTAATCAATCAGCTTATTATGTCATTTAAATCTTAATAAGTGTAGAAATTAAAAACTTAACAGCACACTTTCATCGAAAATAGTTACAACAATTTTCTTTTAAGTACCTCAGAACCAATTCCGTGAGCCAGAGCACAGTCGTTGTCAACATTTAGTCCCACAGTGTGCGCCAATGATCCGTTCCTACACAACACTCGATAGCTGCTGGGCTCTATGTCTCCTGCTAGCTTACCATCACTGCCTGCAAGCAAAGTGATCATTCTTAGATAAGCCAGAGCACAGTCGTTGTCAACATTTAGTCCCACAGTGTGCGCCAATGATCCGTTCCTACACAACACTCGATAGCTGCTGGGCTCTATGTCTCCTGCTAGCTTACCATCACTGCCTGCAAGCAAAGTGATCATTCTTAGATAAGAAACGTAGGTACACTCCCAAGGTAAACCACTTACTTGTGATTGATGAACAAATGTTGACAAGGTGAGAAGAAGAGTCTTTAAATTACAGTTTTTTCATTAAAGTGGTATATAACTTTTACAAACTCATTTCTTCCTCTCACCGTGTTGATTATAATTATTTTAAACTACTTTGTACAGTAGGGTGGGTCGATAAAAATCAATATTTTTTTTAGTCCTAGTACCTCGGAAAAGTTGCTAAATTGTAAGACGAAAACAGGGTACAAATATTCCCATATATATACAGGGTGATCAACTCAAGGAGGCCACCATTGGGATATCGGAAACGGTAAGAATTAGAGAAAACTTTAAATGGGGGACATTCCTTTATTTTTTGATGCAGTTAAAAATATGATTTAAGTTTTTCGAAATTCAGCCGCCATTTTCCAAATAGCGGCCAACTTTGAAATTTCTTATAGAACGCCCTATATTTTATAAAATTTTCAGATAGAAGATGCAATTTGAAAACTTTTTTATTCTTGACATTTTTTCGATAAACCTACTTGTTTAGGAGTTACAGCCTATGGAAAAATGACTTCCGGTGTACATTTTACATCATGGAGGTTCTAAACAAGTAGGTAGGTTTATAGCAAAAATGTGAAGAGTAAATAAGTCAAATAAGTCTTAAAATTGCATCCACATTCCAAAAAGACCATAAAATTCGTTAAAAATATTAATTCTATTATTTCAAAAATGGCGGCCATTTTCCAAAATGGCGGCAAACTTGATAAGTGGTAAACTATCTATTTTATGGTCTATGTGGATGGAATTCTAAGACTTATTCTCTTCGCAATTTTGCTCTAAACTTACTCGTTTAGGAGCTACATGATGTAAAATGTACACCGGAAGTCATTTTTCCATAGGCTGTAACTCCCAAACGAGTGGGTTTATCGAAAAAATGTCAGGAATAAAAAAGTTTTTAAATTGCATGTTTTATCTGAAAACATGATAAAATATAGGGTGTTCCATAAGAAATTTTAAAGTTGGCCACCATTTTGGAAAATGGCGGCTGAATTTCGAAAAACTGAAATCATATTTTTAACTGCCACAAAAAATAAAGGAATGTTCCCCATTTAAAGTTTTCTCTAATTCTTACCGTTTCCGATATCCCAATGGTGGCCTCCTTGAGTTGATCACCTGTATATATATATATAATACGTGAAGTAGTTTTTTGTTAACACTACTCTTCCCTTATTTGTGGTCTTATTTCAACGTTTAAGGTTTGATCAGACACATTTTATAATTTACAAAAATAGTTTTACTGCACCAAAAACATTTAATCGCTTAAATAATATCAACTGTGTACTAGTGTGTCTAATAACACCCGTTTCATAGATCATAGCATTTAGATTATTTACAGTACCGTGACTTGAGTAATATCATTTTGTTTTAATATTAACCTCTGACATAACTGTACATTTATATAAACTGAAAGCTCATAGTTTTTTGACGTTTCGAATTTATAATAGGCAGCAATAATGAAATGCTACGGAACAGGGGCGGCTCCAGAGGGCAGGCCAGGTAGGCCAGGCCTACCCAAAATTTTGGTAGATATTTCAAAATCTATATCTATAAAAGAGGATGTATGTATGTATGAACCCTATGGACTCCGAAACCACTTGACAGATTGTAATGGAACTTTCAGGCATTATTAAGCATTTTTCAAGGATGGTTTCTGTGAAGTTTGGTGTAGATCCGTCAAAAGGGCTCCGCCCCAGAGGGTTTTAAGGCTCCAATGTCAGACTTTTGGAACTACAATGTTTACAAATAAATCTATATCTATATCTATACTTATTTAATACGCAAGCAGGTTTTTTGTGACAATTACTCCTCCGAAACTACTGAACCGATTGACATGTTTTTGGTGTCATTGGAAAGAGCGTAACGTGAAGTTGTGCAGGAAACTTTCTTTATAGGAAAATAATTAATGAGTGAGGCCCTGGGGCCCTTTAAAGTTTCTTATTTCTCCATAAGATTAACATGGGGAACAAACATTGTTATGAAGCACAACAACCTCCAGCTGTTGTCAGAAATGCTGTTCTGCTATTTAATTTTATTTGTTTATAAGGAGAATTGTTTCTTGGTGCCATGTGGTCAATGAATTATACTTTTGCATATATTTTAAATGCTATACACTATATAAAATTATAGTATTGTAATACATTAAGAGATCTTCATTTAAATAATCAATAAGCATGATTGAGCCTTTGCCTATACGTTTCCTGGTAAGTGTGTTGTAACTGTTTCTTATAGTATACTATAGTATCTTAAAGTAAAACTGAATTATTCTTTTCTGCATTCTAACCCCGTAGCGAAGCACGGGCAGAGCAACTAGTACTCATTTAATACACAAGCAGGTTTTTTGTGACAATTACTCCTCCGAAACTACTGAACCGATTGACATATTTTTTGTGTCATTGGAAAGAGCGTAACGTGAAGTTGTGCAGGAAACTTTCTTTTTGGGGAAATAATTAGAGAGTGAGGCCCTGGGGCCCTTTAAAGTTTTGTATTTCTCCAATAAGATTAACATGGGAAACAAAAATTGTTATGAAACTCCAGCTATTGTCAGAAATTAAAAGTGAGAAGAAGATCATATGTTAATTGTAAACAGTTTGAGTTTGCTAATTTATCAGTTTGCTACAAACATTTACTGACTTGGTTGAAATGAAACAGTTACCATTTGAATTTGGGTTGGCGTAAATATTACAATGGAAAAAAGCGAGAGAGCCTGGATAAATTTATATACGAAAAAGAAAGCTATGGAACATAGGAAAGAACACCACCAAGGAGAAGAAATAGAAATAATGTTTTTTTATTTTTTTTTTATTTATAATTGTTATTATGGACGACCTAATGCGGCTATGAGTAAGGCTATTTTTGGAAAACACTAAAAAACCAAGATCAGCTTTTGGAAAATGATAAGATATTTACAAGAAATGTTGATTATATCGATCTGTTATGTACATATTGAGTATTTCCATAATGTTTGAGTCGAATTTTTTAAAGTCATCAGGAATTATGACTGTTATTCGTTTTAAAATAACGCCTGTAATACTTAGCAATTGCTCGAATTCGAGCAACAGGTACACTAGTATAATTTAATAGCAGATGTTTACTTTCACCAACTGTTTTGTAGGTTTGAATAATCACAACATTCTGTATTAGTCATGATTTGAAATATTGCCACACTGTTTCCACAGAATGCAGCACAGAAAACTATTTTACTTTTGGATAAGTCCAAATATATTAAACCCCAATTGCAGCTCGCCTGTGCACTCAACAACGTTTAAATTGTCCACTATTAAATATGTGTAATCATAAAAAGTAAAAACCTTTATCAAAGTATTATTAACAATAAAAGGGATGGCAATGACTTAATTATCTTTTTGTTCTAAACCCACACAATCTAACATAAATTATTAAGTGAATAATAATTGTGCGTGCTATCTCAGGTATTCAAATGCCTCCCAATTTGTCATTAACCCACCACATTACTGCCATTAAAAAAAGGAACTCCAATAATACTAATGCAAAACTTAACACGTTCGCTGCGGGCCATCAAACAGCAGGCGTAGCCCCAGTGCGGCGCAGCCCGCAGCGTCGAACAAACCCGATTGCCGGGTGATTGGCTCTCATATTTCGGTATGACGAATAGCAAATAACGTGCGGTGATGTCCTGTTTTATAACAAGAGTCGACGTAGTTCGCTAAACACTCACATATAGCAGCACTGCTTGGAACGTAGCCGGTCCCATCGTATTAACAATTGGAGGGAGAAAGACGGGACAAAAAGTTGATTTTTAAGTTTGCCAGACGGGGATTTTATGGGGAAATTTTACTACCAACCTACAACACAACAAAAAGCAAGTCACCCACTACACGCTAACGTGGAAACATTCTGCAAAGGGTCGTAAACAAACGCACGTGGCGCGCTCGCCCACCCCCATCCCGCCCCCCCTACTGATAACGCGACAAAAATAGAAACCAAGGTCACCACGGTCATTCAACTGTGTCAACGCAGGTGGCTACAAAGTATTAGTTCGAAATATCAAACGGCTGAGCCACAGGAAAATATTTAAGTTCAGGAGGACCCAAGTATCCATATGGATACCGCCGCCTCTACGTGATGGACTCCAGGTATCCATATGGATACCGCCGCACCCAATGTGTTAATTCCACCCAAGCTGTGCAACGGAACCAGACTGACAATTAAAAAAATGACACCAAACTTGATCGAAGCAGCAGTCATCAGTAGTAAGTTTAAAGTAGAAAAAGTCTTTATCCCAAGAATACCGATTATTTCATCTGAATTACCATTTGAATTCAAGCATTCTAGTCTTGACTGAACGCGGACTGAAAAAAACAGAACTAAAAGCTACAAAAATTCCCGGCTGCTCTTTAATCACTCACTTTAGAAGAGAAGAAAACTTGGAGGCGTAGCAATATATTCCAAGGAAACCTTTGCTGATACAGTATCAGCTATTGACATATCAAACACATGCCAAGAGCTAATTTTCTAAGCAGCAATGATTCGCATGCAGATAACAAAGAAAAAGGATATCTACATTCTGGGAATCTATAAACCACCAAGCGAAAAGGCAAGAATTGCCCTTGATCTCCTATCAGACACGCACTTGAGTATTTCAGTTACCAAAAAAGACGAACAAAATCTATTTTTACCATTTGTGACACTGATATATCATCGAAATGACTTCGCGGTCACGGTGTGATCGTAAGTATGACTCGCGGTCTCGGTGGGATCGTCGGTATGACTCCGCGGTCACGGCGCGATCGTCGGTATGACTCCGCGGTCACGGCGTGATCGTCGGAATGACTCCGCGCTCCGCGGTCACGGCGTGATTGTTGAAACGACTCTGCGGTCACAGTGTGATCGTCGGTATGACTCTACGGTAACGCGGTCATGACGTCGCCCC